TGTGATTGGTCAAGATCGGTTTCCATAGTTTGTACCATATGGTTGGTTTCTATTTGAACCAACCTCTATATGTATATATATGTATATATATATATGTATGTATATATATATATATGTATATATATATGGGGGCCTATTCAAGGGAGAACTGAGTTGTTTGTGGTAACTGTGAGAACCAATATTAACCACAAATCAATAGATAAATTTGGAAATTTATAAATTTGGTAATTTTAAATTAAAATCTTAATGCAAGGATATTTTTGGTATTTTAAAACTCTCCTCTCTCCTCTCTTCTCTCTTCTCTCTACGGCCACCGTTCTCCGGCCTCCGGCCACCGTCCTTCGGTGATACCACTATGATACCACTGTGATACCTAAAAATATTGACTCTGTTAAACAAAAGATACATTGTGATACCTAATCATATATAAAATGCATAGTGATACCACTGTGTTACATTTTCGATCGACTACTACAAACGACATCAATGTGATACCCAAACACATATATGATGCATTGTGATACCATTGTATTATCACCGGAGGACGGTGGCCAGCGGACGGTGGCCGGAGGACGGAGGACGGTGGCCGGAGAGAGAAGAGAGGAGGGAGGAAAGTTTTAAAATACCAAAAATATCCTTGCATTAATATTTTAATTCAAAATTGCCAAAATTATAAATTTCTTAATATATCTATTGATTTATGGTTAATATTGGTTCTCACAGTTAGCACAAACTAATTAGTTCTCATTTGATTAATCCCCTATATATATGTATATATATACATATATATATATATATATATATATGGCACGTTCAAATGAAAACTGTGTATTTCTAATAAACTGTGTAAATTAATTTCGACTAATAGGAAAATTTCATTTTTTTTCTAATTAAATTTAATCAATAAGGGTATTTCGGTCATTTACAATATTTTCTATTAAATATGAAAATTATTAATAAATCTTAATTAAGGAAACGTAATTAAGAAAATTTTATAAACGGTAACATTTAAATATTTAATTATATTTTAATATTTAAAATTTGAACTAAATATATTGTGATGCAATTGAATCTGCTGGTGAATCTTGAAGATTGTAAGCCATAATGTAATGAATTCATCAAATCATAGTTGGACAAAAAAAATTAATACAAATGAAACAAGTTTCATGAAGGTGAAACTGGTTCATATCGCAAATAAAAAATGAGTAGTGAAACATTTTCATGGTGAACCCGTTGCATTGATGGTATAGTTGATCCATTTAGTAAGTGAAGTGGAAAATGAAACGGGTGCATAATGTATTTGGTTCGTCATGAAATAATTGCATGATGAAACGGGTACATGATGAATCTGCTACAGAATCTTGAAGATTGTAATCTGCTCTAGAATTTTGAAGATTGTAAGGCTTAAAGGAATAAATTCATCAAATCAGGGGTGAAATAAGAAAATTAATGTATTTGGTTCGTCATGAAATAATGCATGATGAAATGGGTACATGAAGAAACTGCTCCAGAATCTTGAAGATTGTAATATGCTCCAGAATTTTTATGATTGCAAGACTTAAATGAATGAATTTATCAAATCAGGAGCGAAAAAAAGAAATTAATTTACATGAAACAGGTTTCATGAAAGTGAAACTAGTTCATGGCGTAATTGAACAATGAGTAGTGAACTGGTTTGAAGGTGAATCCCGTTTCAGTGACATTGAAATGCAAAATAAAATGGGTGAATAATGTATGCGGTTTGTCATGAAATAATTACATGCTGAAACGGATTCATTATGAATAGGGTGCATATTTACATGGTTGTGTGAAGGACATTGAAACAATTTCAGGATAAGGAATAAAAAGGCTGTAACATTAGCGAAAAGTGAATAAAGTTCATTATCAATATCATGAAATAACAAATGACGCATCAAACCATGAGTAAAATTTCATGTTTTATCATAAAATTCTATGAACGCAGTAAACAATTAAGACAATGAAACTATTTCATGTTGTTTTATAAAATTTTATAAACTCAGTAAACAATGAAAAAATTTCGTTATCTAAATGTAACAGATTCATCTACCAGTATAATGAAAATTACGAAATATAATCAGTATTATGTTGATTAGTTTGTTGATGAAATTTTGAAACCAATTTCGTTCATATAATATAATTCAAATTTTGAAATGATTCATTATATAGAATTGAATATGGTGTGTTTTTTTTTTTTGATATATTT